AAAGGCGGGGGCCGGAGAGGTGTATGTAGCATTGCTGCCTTGGCTGGGGGGGTAAGCAGAGCCATGTGGGTTCAGCTGAGCCTGGCTTCAGGAGGTCTATGAGGCCTCCAAAGTGTTTATTTTTTTGAGTAACTAAAGGTCTGTAGTGTGGTAACATGATGTTATGGCCAGCAGCTCTCTGTACCTTAGCTGAGAGGGGGGAAAAGTTCAAGGGTAGCCACAAACTTGATAAAGCCGGGGAGCAACTGTGGGGATGCTGAGGGTGGGGATGGAGGCTGGCCATGTCCCTTCATAGGGCACAATGATTGGGGTCGCGTTGTTTCCCCCATCTTTGTCTTAGGTATCCAGGAGTTTGATGCATCTGGTGCTGGTGTCCCAGGAGCAGCCCTGTAAGTATAACAGAGTGCATGGGAAGCAGGGGGAGGTGTTTTGGTTTCAGCCTAAGCAGCTCAAGAGCTGTAGTCTGTTTTTCTGTATCACTAGAGCTCTTGTGATAAAAGGTATATACCTGGAAAAAAAAAATGTTTTTTTAAAATTCCATTTTTCCAGATTACTTTTCATATTAGGAAAAGATTGGGCGGCCCTGTCTACGTTTTTTGGAAAGCCACAACAGAAATTAACATGGATAAAATCTTCTTAACTATGCTGCTTCTCTAATTATGAATGCTTCAAACATTGTTTGTTAGAAAGCTGTGCTGGACTTTCCAAACACGGATACACAGCCATGGCTGCTGCTTTCTCCCCAGGAGCTAGCTGCCGCTCCCAACAGTCACTACCAGCATGGTGGCAGTTTGATGAGCTCTGCCAAGACTGGCTGCTTTAAATCACCAGCTAGTGATAACGAGTGCTCAGCAGGCTGTCCTTGCCCCTTCTGCCTCCTCCTATTCCCCAGCCAGGCATCCTAATTTACCCAGCTGTCTTTAAGCACAGATCTGATTCAGTATTATATTTGTCATCCCCAACTTTATTCAAGTAGAATGGCTGAAAAGTAGCAAATGCAACACTGCACCTGGTGGGGTCCAGCGCTGTAGAAATCCCTTTCTGAAAGCCGGATTTGGGCTCTCCTTTTGTATAAATTAAATAAGTCCTTTACAGAGGGAACCGTGCATTTCCTTGTCAATCACTGCCTTCTGCCAAGTGCTCAGCTTTCATTCCGGATCTGTTCACCATCAGCCCCATCTTCAATTTATTCCGTATAAATTTAGATGCTGTAATTGGACTTCTCCAAGTCTGCTCAGCCTTGTCTTAAAGTACCCCAAGTGTCTTATCCAGGCTTCGATTACTCGTCTGACAGACTACAGGCATCCTGCTTGTTTGTTTATTAGGCAGCTTCTTATCTCGGTTGCAGTCTTAAGAAACTCCATCATTTCAGTTGCACAGCTCTAGTAATTAGGCTTCCTGCTTTTCTGGTCTGGCTGGTGCTACCTTAGCCTATATAAAGAGAGCAGAAGAAAAAGGTGCAAGAAAGAAAACGTTACCACTGGTAGCAGTCAACAGTATAAGGTAAGAACCCCGGGCATATACGTTGGATGCTGAATCCTGTAAAGCTGGGGTGTTGAGCAGACCAAGAAGGTGCTAACATAGGGCCAGAGACCAAAAAGATGAATAAGAGAGATCACCTTTTCACAAAAACTGCTCATTGCCTTTTTCCACTGTCCACCTATACAAATTACATAATCGCCAGGAAGATGAACTTGACTTGGGGTTGCAGATATAGACCTGAATCTTCACCAAATGGCAACGTGCACCTAACAGGCTGCTACGTACAAATATTCTGATTTTTCACCTGCAATAATACCTGAAGTTAGAAAAAGATTGAAGGCTTATAAATGCCATTTATCCCCTGGAGAAGGGAGCCTGACTTGAATGCATTTGAAGGCGCTGCAAATTAGAAATGTTTTAATCATGTATTCCCACTGGTGAGCACATGTAACAGCAACAAATATTTATCCAGATGGATGAATGCAAGAATCAGTTCCGGCCTTAAGCTGTCACTGCTCCTAGCCAGCCACATATTTCACTGGTGGGTCCTGCTGACATGCCGTTTTCCTTGCTGAGGAAAGTGTCGGGGTGTCTCCAGCTGCTTGCCAGCCCCTCCCTCTCTTCACTGGGTTGCTTCCAGTCACTCATCAGGCTGTGCCAAATACATCGGCCACCGGAGCTGGTCCATCTGCTAGCCTTTCACAGGGGAACAATTTGGGGCTCTTTTTCTGGAGGTCAGCAATACTGCCAGGATCTTGTACGACGTGATGCACTACGGGCGCTCCAGGAGCCTGACAAAATGTTAAATCGGACACTTGCTTGGCACCATTTTAATTACTCAACGGGACAGTGCAGGGTACTGCCTGCCAGTGCTGCTGCTCATTTAGCCACCCTTAAATGTTGTTCAGGCAGGAAGGAGTTTTAATAAATGATTGCTGAGCAAGGAGCATGGCTATAGGGCTGTGTCACAGAACAGGACATTTTTTAACTAATTTCAGTCTTTCTGGGTCACAGTTCAGCTTCTTTTCTTGGAACTCCTGTAGGGAATTCAATCTACGCTCATGTTGGGGGGGGGAGGGTCATCCCCCCCCACCTTTGGCAGGGCCTTGAATGCCTTCATTTTTCAAATAGAGAGGCTGATCCCCTAACTCATATGAGGAAGTTGCCTCATAGGCATGACAGGGATCAGCAGGGGAAACGGGCCTTTATGCGCATCCTAATTGGGTCTGAGACCCAAAAAGCATGACTTGCATACTTAGCTTCCATCCTCTTGACAAGTAACTGGTTTCTGTAGTAAGACAAACTCTAGCTGATATCATTTTAAGGCTAAATCCTGAAAAATTCTGGAAGGTGGCAGACAAAGTTCAGTTGTTAAAGATGCAATGGAGTATTATGGAAGGGCTTTCTGAGGATGATGATGGTATTGGCAGCAAAACTGCATGAGGGCTAAGTTGTCAGAGCAATTTCAGCGCAAGTTTTTGGTGCCTGCTTTGCAGCTGCAAAAAATGCCCATGTGCCAGCAAGCTTCTTTCAGGCCCAGAAAACTGGGCACTTAAAATTGACTGAGAGTTACGTAGTTATGGATTAAACTATACAGGCACAAAACGTTTCCTTCAACTGATTCATCATGCAACGAGTCGGGACCATGGGTGCCTGTTGAGCTTTCTCGCTTGAGAGCTGCAGGAGACTTTGTGAAAGGCAATGCTAGGGGTGCCCTACTCAGCCTTTTCCCCGCTCCAAAGCGAGAGCGCTATCCTTGGCATGCAAACTAGTAGCTTAAAACAAAACAAACCCAACATCAGCTGCATAATTCAGAGCCCTCTCTGTTACTGACGCCTCTATAACGTATCTCAGGAAGGGACTGGCAGGGCACAGGGTCTCAAAAGCCTGAAAACCAAAGGGGCTGGGGAAAGCCCTGGTGCTGCTGGCCTGAGGGGAGGGCTGTTTGCATGTGGCAGCGGCAGGACCTGTGCCAAACTGCTCCTGCCTCAACAGCTTGTCCTCAGTGCCCCGGCGGGCAGGGCAGCAGCCCTGCTTCTTAGCCTTTCTCTGGGTTTACTGCTTTGCACATGAAATTAATAAGATTTGTCATAAAAAATATGCACATTGACTATCTGTGTTAATAATTGACTTAACGAGGATCTAACTGCCTCTAGCTCATCTCAGGCAAGTTAATTGAGGGGATTGTGTTTATAATCTGCCTTAAGAGCCCTAATCTTCCAAGCCACGGATTGATTGATTGATTTTGGTCTCTTGGAGCAAAACAACAACCTCCTGAGACAGACTTTGGCACTTTCCCAAAGAGAAAGTACATGGCATGGGGAACTAAGAAAAAAAACATAGGCTCCTTAATGGTCTTTGAATGCAGGCTGCTAAATCCTGCTTCCTAGAAAATGCAAACCAGTAGATGTTGAGCTCTTAGGTGTGCTCCAGGTCCTTTGAAAAAGCTGTTGTTGTTAGCAGGGAACTTGTGTCCTTTTGTATGGATGATGGATGGCAAAGGTTTTTCTGAGAATTGGTGTGAGGGTTTTAAATAACAAAATAAAACAGGAGGTCATTCCTGCCTTTTGAGAGGTGGCAGGAGAGATCTTACAGAGGTAACTCTCTCCTAGGTCTGGGGACCTCCTCACCAGAGGAACTGCCCAACTACTTGAGTTACTGTGTGAGGAGCAGGTCAGGGGTTCATAAAACATGTTTCTGGTGAGAGAAGGAAAAGTCACCCACAGAGAAAGACTGCTGGAAGCTGTCTCTGCAACTGAAAAATGGAAAATTGCAGGAAAAAATGCTGGAGATCCCGTCAGGAGATCTAATTCTTCATTTTCTACCAAAGCAAGATTAACTGCACCTAAGCTATTTTTCAGTTAATATTTTTTACAGATAGTAATTCTAAGCATAAGATAGCTAATACACTTGCTCTGTTCAATATTTCGTCCATTTTGAAAAAGCAGATTACTTCTCTGCAAAAATCCTAGTGATTTCCTGTGGGCAACTAGTGTACGATGCAGGTGTCAATCCCATAAAACTGGGCATGTACTTTTTCTGTTCAGGAAAAGTGGGCAATCCTCCCTAGGGTTCAAAAAAAAAAAACATTTATTGCCCCCAGTGTTTTCAGATATGGGCAGCATCCACATTGGCATAACAAAACATTTATTCTGGGAGAATGGACCACTGTTTTTTGTTTCATATATGAATTGTTAAATGTTTCTACTGTTCAAAACACTGAACTATATATGAATTTTCTTTGAACTTACATTTCTTTGATTATCCACCTTGCTTCCTGGGAACCAGAGCCAGTAAAAAGCATGAAGCCTGCCAGGGAAGTCCCATATCTGAGGTTGATATGAGATTACAGCCCAAATCTAATAAGGTTAGATTAGTTTTATTTCCCATTTAGCCATGAGCGTTGCTGGTAGAACAAGATATTAAATCAGACTTCTAAAATTGCACCTGTACTCTGAGCAGCTGGTCAGCTGTACTGATCCCCAGCCCTGGTACTTTCTCTTGCATCCTGAAAGACCATGGCCAAGACTTTCCAGAAGCACTGCAAGCTGAATGTATCTCTGGTGTATTCAGGTAAATCACTGAAATGAGCCTGAAATTATTTTGATCCAGCCTCCTGCAAACATATCTATGACACTTCTGAACTTGTTTTTTCATGCAGCTCTGCAGTGGGTTTTTTTTCCTTCTTGACAAGCTCTGTACTGTACGGTAGCATCTGTTAGAAAAATATACCATGTGAGTCAGTGTAATTTTAAAGGGAGAAGGGATGACTGGTAATGGCTTTGACTGCCTTAGTTTGCATGATGTTTGCTGCTTCGGCTGCTGTGCAGCTGAGCAGGGGGTAGGGGAAGGAAATGTTCTCTGGAGAGTTTGATTCACAACAAGCCAACTTTGTTGAGTTCTGTAATGAGAGATTTTTTTCCTTATTTGCAATTAAAATGTCAAATAACGTTAGAGGTATTTGATTTGTGCTCAGTCACAGTGCAATTCTCCAGCGTACTGACTTTAAGGAAAGTCTTGCAAGATGCTTCTTTTTTTTAATGCAATTGCAGTAACAGACCGAAATTAATTTACTGAATCATTGATTTTCCAAGGGGCAGAAGGTGGCTTCAGACTTTTGGGAAACAAGACTTGGGGAACACAAGAGGTTTCCCTTGTCTACACAGTGGTGCTTTTTTGGGTCACACGGTCTAGAAGCACCCAGGTGTCACCCATTGACTTGGGCAGTGCTCTGGTTAGGCCCTTAAACCCACTGAGCCACTGTATATTCATTTTGAAAATGGAGGCAATCATGCAAAACTGCTCTGGTAGAGGTCTCAAATGATTTCATTGCATTAGCAGCATTGCTAAGCTTAATCAGCTGTGGAGAAGTTAAAGCATAACCTCATTTCAGGCAGGAGGGAGTTCAGTGTTCAGTTGAGTGGTGCTGGTGGGTGCCGGTAGGTCAGGAGCAGGTTCCTGGGAGCAGGTAGGTCACACGTCAGTGACTGGGTTGGAAATACTATCTAGGACAAGTGGTCAAACTGGGAGAAGGTGACTACCAGCCTTCTCTTGGTTCACAACCAAAACTCCAGGCCAGCTGACACTTGGGAATGATTTTCAGGACATGATCATCCTTCCCTCCCTATACTTTGGACAATAAACATGTGACCAGTCACTCTCTTAAATACCCACTAGTTGGGATACTGTGTTTCACGGAAACAAGGAGAAGCAGTGCAGGCCCTTCCTAGTACTATTTCAGGAGGTGACCAACTCAGCTAGAAACTGAACATCTACTTTGCGTGGGCAGTGACCCTTACAAACCAACCTAGAAATCTTTCTTAATTTTAGTGGTGACTGAAACTTTAGGAACTCATACTGAATGCTAAGAGAAGTGTTATCTGTTGAAAACTGTCTTAATTCCTTATCCTTTTCTTCAGCTACTTTGCCAAGAGTGCCCTGGAAGGAGATGGGTGTCCAGCACACATTGCTGCACTAACAAGTCCTCACAGGCTCTTTAAGGCAGGTTCACATTATGCCTTGGAGCATGGAGTGAACCAAAAGATTTTGCATCTGAGGTAGCTAAATGTTACTCTGCTTGTGGTCTGGAAGATATCATTATGCAGAAATATCCGAGAAGTTTCCTATTCTCCATTTTACTTTCTAGCTACTCCTGTGCTGTATTCATCCCATCTAACTGCAGGCTGTTAACTCTATTGAGATGCCCAGATTTAGGAATGCACTTGCCCTACACTGCCTTGTATAAGGTGCACTAAGCTCTGATTTGCCTTCTGGAGGTGACCCCCTTCCTCTTTCCAGGACCTGGGTGAGGTGTCCTGCTCTGCAATGTTCCAGGCTAAAGCCCCTCAAACGTGGGTTCCACCAACATACAGTTTCTTCTCTGCATGGTCAGGCTCAACATGAAAAACAACCTCTGCTTTGCTTTTCTCATTTGTACTTCACCACCTTTTCTAAAGAGGCATGGAATTAGGATGTAGTGGACAATTTAATAGATGGTGGATGTGATGGGAGAGATATCTCACTTCCTTGTGGTTGCTTCTGACAGGCTGATAGAATGAGAGGTATTTATCAGGCTACAAAGGAAGTGCGTGCAAACAAACTCATTAACGTCTGATGCTTCCAAAGTATTCCATTAAAAAAAAAAAAATCCAAGTTATGATTCTCAATGGCACTGTAACTTGGCCTTTTATTGCTGTAAATTATTTGATTTTTTTATAATGGAAAGGCAGCTGCTGCCCTCAAATTGTCACTGCTACTGTATCTGAAGTTAAATTTCACCCCTTTAATCTTTTCTATTTGATGTATTTCTTCAGTGGTGAATTCTAACCAGTCTGCTGTGTTGAGCTCTGGCCAGGCGGCTGTGTGTCTGCAAGATGGTATTTGCATACAATAGTATGGAAGAATTTAAATTAATTGGGGAACAAAATCCATTAGAGACGGTCTGCACAGTAAAATGAGCTGTGCAACCCATCTAAGTTTACAGCACTCTGGATGTGAACCTAAGCTTTTAGTTTCTGATTGAGTGGTCTGTTGCTTGTCTTGATAACTCCCTCTTTATGCAGACCCAAGATAAAGCCCCACAAGCTGTGCTTATGAAAAGCCCTTTCTCAAGCAGAGTCCTGCTCTCTCTTCTTGCGTGATTCATGAAAGCTGCTCCAAGCATCGTCTCTGAAGCTTCTGCCAAAATGACCAGGGGATGACATGGCCCTTCTGGGAAGCTTCATTGGAAACCTCAACCTTGTAGTCTAACATGGGCAGATGTTTCCCATCACTGGCAGTGGGTTATCCTTTCCTAACAAATGCCTGTTTAAAGCTATGGGTGCCATTACATTTTGTTACACGGTTATTAACCTAGTTAGAAACATTTCCTTACAAAATGTGGAGGATGAGATGTACAAGTGAAAAGCCTTAGCTGATGCTGTGCAAAACAGGGGGAAAGCATGGTTTGTGCTGTAGTTGGAAAAGAGAGCAACCAAAGAAAGAAGGGTTGGTCTCACATGTGCCTTCCATTTCATTTTGAAAATAATGACTCTGTAGAGTCTTTAATTTCTTTGGAAATGTCTGGCTGGCTTTCACACAGTGGTTTTTCATTGGTGTATAGTTGTTGAGTCAATGTGCTTTATTTGTTTTGTTGGTTGTGCTTTTTATACTCTTTTTCCAGTAACTTGCACTTTGCATAATGCAGTGTTCAACAGCTTACACTGACAGACCATTGTTGATCAGAAATGGCATTAAATGGGAGCAGAGGACTACAGGGACAAGTGGTTGGAATGATAAAGTGACGGATCTGATTGTCTTCAATTTATCCCCAAACATACGCTCTCCTTCCCCGG